TAAAGTGTCTTCCTTTCCAGCACCTCCACACTGGTCCTCCACATCTAAAGACAGACAAGAGAAAGGCAGCAGTGGAGTCCCTGGTCCTCCTCAGCGAGGCAAGATCCCCCTGCACTGATGTCACTCTGCTCTTGGTGCGTGCTCAGTAAGTCAGTGTCATGAGCGTGGGTCCTATCCATACATGGCAGGCTGGAGGAGGAATGACCTCAAACTGCACTTCTAATCCAGGGGGCGTTGCCCAAACACAGTGTTTGAGTTTGATGCATGAAGCGCAGAGATATTTTCAGCTCCTGAATCACACTTTTGGCTCCGCAGCTAACTTGAACTTCTCCTTAGTTTTGTTCACAATTTTTCACCTTCTGCAATCACCACTGACTCCCACAAAAACGCAACGAGCTCGCATGTTAAAGAAAATAACCCCAAATGGTCATAAATAGGAAGATATTTTAAAAATCACTTTTATTTTAATACCTTCTATTTTATTCTCTTGCATGTGTGGAGGAGTGGAGTTAAACAAATTACTAATAGATCAGTGGTGCATCACAAACGTCTGGTTTATTTCACGGTCTAAATATATGCTATTAAATGCTGCCAGTGAATGTTTTCTAATGATTTTGGTGTCAAACACAAGAATGAAACAGTCTGAAAAATGCGGCAATGCAAACGGTTAGCCTGGCTACAGCTACAGGAGAGCTTTTAGCTATATATTCCTATAGCTGAAGCAAAAATACTTCGCTGTACTGATCCCATGAAATCATACTGACTTGAGCACAATTCATAACCATAGTTTGAAACTGACAGTAATGAGAACGCAAAACTTCACCTGACATTACGAAGGGAATAATTTTTAATTGGCATATCCTGCCAATTACAAGTGCATCACCTCTGCCTCTGCAGCCTGAGTCTGCTCTCACTGGATTCAACGGGAAAGCTCCAGCAGACAAATTATGCAGCCTCAGCCACAGCTAAGCAAGTCATTTAAGCATATGCTTAATTCTATCTCTCATCAGTAAAGCCAATTCAGCAAAGCAAAGCATATGCTCAAGTCAGAAGCGAATAGGGAACACACATCTTTCTGAATATGGGTTTTTCACAGATTGAGGATATTGCACAAAACTTCCCTTGATTGCCTTTAGAGCTCACCATGCTGGAAGAAGATAGAATTCAGCTGTTAATAATATCGTCACTTATGCACGTAAACTATTGGTACTTTTAACTCATCCACAGACTGGTTACACAAAAAAAAAAAAAAAAAAAAAAAAAAAAGGCATGAGATATATCCTTGGAGTGGACAGAGACATACACATACTACCCATGTATGTATGTCTGTATGGACCACAGAAGTGGAAAGAGGTAACACAGAAAAGATGAGGTAAGAAGCTACAATAGGAAATCCCGTACATCCAAAACTTCTGATGAGTCTCTCTGAACCTTTTCACAGAGTTAATTAGGAGATTTCTTATCCCCTGGAAAGAGTGGAAAATAATGGGTATTTCAACTCCTCTGTTTCCATTTCCTTCCTGTGAGAATGAGGAAAGAGTAGGGATAATGAACACACTGCTTTATTAAGGAATGTTGCTCTTTCCTTGATGCACTGAAGTAACCGGGCAGCCTCTAAAGTCATCTGAAACTTTTTATTTTCCTTTAAATTTTCTTTAGTCTTTTACCAAGCAAGAGACAACTGCCAGGCAAGCATGAATCCCCAGAGCATTCCTTGACTGCAGACAAGTGGGAAAAGAAAAGCTCACTGCAAACAGCAGGGCTGTAACCAGTCACTGCGAATTACGCTCAGCAGCAGGTTGCACCACTCACCTACCTCTGCCTTTCTCCCAGGGTGAAGGAGCCTTATCTACCTTTGCATTTCATCTCAGAGATTAGGAATCAATTACAAACCCCACGGGGCTGCCCTAAATTATGCTCAGCTGCCTGAGGCTGCTTCCTCCCAAATGGGTCCCCCCAGGCTGAAGGCTGAGGGGGGGCACGTGGGGAGGAGAGCGCTGGGTGCCAGACTCTACCTGTTCTCCAACTCTTCCAGACTGCTGAGATGGTCAGAGTGGGGTCAACCCTCTGATTTGTTCTCTGTTTGAGATAACAATCTGTCCCTGCCCCAAAGGCACCGTGAGCTGTAAGAGTATAAATGTTTGCAGAAATTAAACAACTCTAGCAAAATACACATTATGCAAACATCTCCTCTCTTCCCCGATGACACATGGAGCACCAAGCACAAACAAAAACCAACCAAACAAAGCACAGAAGCTTTGTTGGGGAAAATAAAAATCATTTAGCAAAGAGCTTCTCTGATCTCCTTTCAGCCATTAGGACAGTAATAATGCTGAAATGGCTGGCCAGCCCTGAAAATTGGATAAACTGAGACACAGAAGAGACAATTGAAAGCAAGGAGACAGACAGCAAAAATAAGTGAGACAACAGATGGAAGCAGAAATGCAATGTCTAAACTGCAGCTGTAATTCTGCTAGTAACAAGCACGTTTAAGCACAGTTTGGTCTGCTTTCCTATTCTGGAAAGGGCAAGAATTTCCTTTCAAAAAAAACCTAATTTGCAATCCAAACTGCTGTGGGTTCGGTTCTCCCCAGACAGGTTTGTGGGACAGGGGAACTATTTCTCCCCGTATCTGGGAGTAAAACAACACTTCTAAGAAAGGGCAAAATTCTGACACCCTCTGATGTCCTAGCTGTCCTAGTACTGTTGAGGCTGAAGAGGGGAGTCACATCACTAGAATCTATATCCACAAGTGTAAGAAAGCTGTGTTTTAGTTGCTGCTCACCAGGGTCAGTCACAGGAATTGTTCAGAGCTCTCCCATAGCAGCACGGGCTCCTTAGCCTTTCTCCTTTACTAGCATAACTAGGTAGGAAAAGGGTAGTTACTGTTCTAGCAACGCTTTTACAGAATAATTTGGCAATTTTCTAGCAGGGCTTTAGTATAACACACTAGTATGGGAAAGAAAGATTTCCACATTGGCCAAAGAAACAGTTGTGGCAAGACTACCTATTTTTAACACAGTTTATTCCTAGCCCTATTTCAGACACAGCCTTTTCTCTCCCATCTGTTGACACAGTTGTTTTGTTTCTTCAAAGACACAGTTGTCTGCCTCTTGGGGAAAAAAAAAACAACCCAACACACCTTCAATTGTTGCAGAAAAAAACCCACAAAAAACATGACATGAAACCCAGTCAAATGGCGATCTGTTCGAAAGGTAATGCTGGCAAAGCTTTATGACTGAAACATAGAGCAATTCTTAGGATGCCTCTTAAAATTTATATCAGGTTTTGGCTTCTGTGGCATTTTAAGTGCGACTGTGTATTGTTAAAATTCAAATCTGGTATACTCAACAACTAAGATGGTTTATTGATCTAAGGAGTCTGACTGCAAACCTGCCATCGGAGTGACACACCGGTCTGCTCAGGGGGAATGCTGCACAAAAGCACAGAGCAAGATGCAAATGCTTTCTTTAATAAAGGAAGGAAAATGTAATGAGAGCAGCAAGGGGAAAAACCCAAAGCCTTAAGTCTGATAAAAAGTAAACTGGTATAACAGGACAAAACATTAAGCAATCCCTCTGACACTTGGGTTGCCAGGCTGTTTCCTCTGATTTTTGATGATCATTTTTTTCCTCATTGGACGGCTGGAGTTCATGGTTTTGATCTCCCAGGCAATCTGAAAACCTTATCTCCTCTCAAAGGCATTTCAGGCAGCTTGAGAGTTTGTAGGTGGAAGCAAATAAAACTGAAGCATGGCTGAGGTGGGACCGCTTTTGTAAACTAAAGCAACCTCAGTTCTTGTAGGACAGCCTATCTGCTGGGAAGGTTGCAGTATGAAAAGCTGATATATTAAAGGTCAAGACTCCAATACAGAGCAGACTCATCTGTATTGTGTTTTAATTTCTTTTTACATTGAGAGGTACCTAGGGACCCAAAGAGGTGACAGAAAGATAAATCATGCATGACAAACTGGAACAGAAGACAAGGCTATATCCAGAATACGATAGCTCTGCTGGTGCAGCTGTCCTAGCAAAATGTACTGACAGTGTGTTCCCAGCACAGCCTTCATTCATACCAGCAAAATCGTGCTATATGCTGGCACAGATTTTTCCTGAAGTGTCTCTTCCAGCAAGCAAAGCAACCAAAGCAAGCAAAAAGTGTCTCAGTAAAAGCAAAGGTTTGTCCTAAGTGTATCTACCATGAGAGCTTTTGTGTCAGTCTGGGATCAGGTCAAGGATCAAGCCTTTTTACGCCTTTGGCCAAGACAGGTACAACAGCAAAAAACCTGTAAAATAGGCATTTTCTCCCTTTGACTTGAGTGAGAAGTCCTTTGCACAGATTTCAGTACTGGCTTCTGCCACAGATGGGCATCTTAACCTTCTCATTCACTTCTGCAGAAATGCAGAGATAAAAAAATCACACTACATGTGCCCTGAGTGGACAAGTTACGGTATTTCCACAAGCAAAATAAGTCTTCAGCATGCCTGCCACTGACTCCAGCTGCTGCTCCACCACTGTTTTGGGGGAGGAAGCTCAGCCACCCGCCCCTACCCACAGCAATGAGCCTCAGCCCGGGCTGGGCGCCTTTCCAAGGGCTGTGGGAAGGAGGAAGCAGGCAATGGGCCTGGTGCAGAAAGGTCCACGATGTACAGTGACATGGGAAAAATAATGCCAAACCAAGTGCCTGGGACTAGGTGGGCAGCTCTCAGAAAACAATCAAATTCACTAAGATGATGAAAACCACAGCTTATTTAAGATGCATTTTAAAAGGAATTTGTGGATGAGCTTTCAGGAGCTATGTGAAAAGATATTTTCCAGGTGTGCTATATGGTATGACGTACTGGTCACAATCACCTAAGTGATTTAAAATTTTAACACTGTTGTCTGTGATTTTCACAAGAGAACAGGTAGTGACTTTAACATGCCCTTGAGGAAATTAAGATCAGTGAGGATCTGGCAGAATATTCATATATGGCTTTCAGCCTGTTAAAAGGGCTTACCTGCCTTTGGATTGGCAGCATCTAGAGCTGTGGTACTTGGCCACCCAGCATTATCTAACTTCTTTACAAGGCATGTTGTACGTATTTCTAGAAGGCTGGACCTATTCCAGGTTTCCATGGACAGGAAGCTTGAAGGTTTGGGATTAAAACGGCAGGAGGCTGAAAAGAAAATTGAGGACCTGGAAATAACAACTGATAGTCCTGACGTAATCATCACCGAGAACACTGCAGCTCTGAAAAATGTAATCAACAGCCTGGAGAATAACCTCAGATAAAAGGATAGGTTTTGGAGGGCAGTGGAAAGCTCCTGTGAGTACAGTTAAAAAACAGGTTCTGACAGACTTTTGCACATGCATTTCAACCAGTTCTCCACAGCATCATGTAGGGAAAACACACAATACAAAAACTTGTAGATATTCGCTGTACTCCAGCATGCCTCATTTAAAAGAAAACTGCTGCTGGATAAGCCATGTGACAGAAGCTCTCTTCTTCCTCTGTCTGTGGAAGCTGAAGGTGCTCCTGCTGGCTGGAGGCTCGTGTTTCCTACCTCAGTCAATGTGATCCCACCACTGACCTTCAACCAAAGCCAACCCAGATGGCTTTACCTGGATTAAGAAACAGAGCACTTCCACAGCTCTTACACAAGTAGAATGGTGGAGTAGTAAATTTCTAGCTAGCAAGCAACGGTGACCCATCGGCAAAGTGTCATCTTCAACCTTGCAGCCCCTTGCAAAAGCAGCATCTGTCCAATACCTGAACTCTTGCAGCATAAATAGTTATTGAAAAGGCAAAATGGGAAGTTTAAGTTTCTGTAGCACTACAGTACTAGCTGAAGAAATAAGCTAACCAGCAACCCCACTGAACTTAAAGGCCTTAAGTAACAAATATCCATGATGCACTACTTGAAGTAAACTCGTTACTTTGGGGCAGATACACAGGTTTTATCCTAAATTTTCAGGACTTGTGAATGTTGTTGTGGGCCAAGTACCACCCTGATATCCTTTTGTGATGGTCAAGACAACCAACTCAGAATAAAACAGATTCCATTACAGTGTACTAAAGTGATCCCTCTCTAAATTACCTTTATTTACTATCCCCAGAAAGGTCACTAAAACCAATATATTTTTAAAGAATAAAATTACTGACCTTTCAAACACAAATGGCAATGAAGGTGAGCAGAGCCTCCACTGAATTTATTCATGCCTGTGTCCAAAATCAGGTGCCAGCTCACATGGATACCCTATCACTAAATGACAGAAAGAGGACTTATGGCTGACTTAAAGAGACTGGCAGGGGTTAGCTAAACCTGGCTCCTGAGGGTGCTTCTTATTAAAGCGGAGTACGCTCAAGGCCTGGTTGCCCCAGGAACCAGACAAACATAAAAACTTGGTTCAAGCCGCCCGTGCTTCCAGCTACATTCAGCCAGAGATTTACTACAGCTGCAAGAAAAAGACTGAGGACTGCAAGGTCCCAAGACTTGTCCCCTTAAAACCTCAAGGTTTGATCCTGGGTTAGGGCTTCTGCTCAAAAATTAATAAACCCAGGGAAATGGTGAGATGCCACACTGACTGTAGAAAGTCCAACTGAGGGAAAGCTGCCCTAGGAAAGGAGCCAAAAAAGTGCATGGGACCTAAAACCACTTTCAGATAACACAGTCAACATGCTAGGCAGTGAAAATGTTTCTGCCAGGAAAACATAATGCCACTGCTAAGAAACGTAAGAAATCAAGTTAACGGCTTCTTGTGATGAATAAAAAGCACAGCAAACAACAGTGATCATTCAGAAAATCAGACACAATTAAAGACTAAGTGATAAGTTAGAGAAAAGAAAGGACAACAAAAGACTTCTACTGAATTCTGCATCTCCAAAGAGTTATTCAAATTCCCACTTGAGTGTTCCCAGAGATGAATACCACTGATTCGGATTCAGGAACTTACAACAGATATATTAAAATTCAGTCAATTATATTCCAAAGTGTTATCACATTGTTCCAGACCCTTTGTAATCACCAGAAACCACTTAAATGATAAAAGAGCAAGCACTCAAAGAAAACAAGCTATTTTTCTATCAGACTACTTTTCAGGAGACAAGCAGAATTAGGAGACTCCAGGAACAGGCTCCAGGTGGGCTCACTATACCTGATCTACCCTTAGGACATGGTAAAGCACTTCTCACCCCTTCTCTAAGGCCTGCTTACTAATACACCAATCCTACAGTAGTTTCAAATGGGATTTAAAGAGCATAAGTAAACAGAGTCAGAATTATTTTTGCTGGGGCTACTCCTTTTCTTTCATTCTGACAAGTCAAAGAAATCCTTAACTTGAACTGCAGATCTACGTTTCAGCATCTACATTCCAGTGGTTTCTCTATTATTTCATTACAACCAGTCCTGGCAATAAGCAATAAAGTCCCCAGTGTGTTTGCAGATCATCACAGCAATATGATTAGAAAGCTTGATCCAAGTATCGTAAAAGACAATGGAACTTGGATTGAGCCCAAAGAGAAATGATTTTCCCTGCTATGGGAAAGTGACTATACATAGCTATGACTACAGCTATACATTATGCTTCTTCTGTTATTAAAAGTGAGTCTTTCCCCAAGCACTGATTTTAATTACTTAACAATAGGGTATACTTTTGAACAATACGGTGCCAAGAAAAAAATCATAACCTGAAATAGAGAAAACACATCTTCTGTGCCCTGGGAACAATTAAAAATTCTGCTGACTCTAGTAACTGCTGAGTAAGACTATCACACCATTACCTAAACGTATGCACAGACGTACATACACACACAGGCCTACTGATCTGTAGGACCTCTAAATCCTTCCCTTGGAACTAGCACTCTAATGAACATCTGTAGGAGGAGAGATGTAGTTCATGTGGTCATGGGGACACCAGAGTGTATCTCACCTATTGTGTAATATTAGTCTCTAAAATGTAATACATTTCCCATCTTTAAAATACAGAGACATTTCTGTGGAAAAAAAAAATATTCTAAGGAAGAAAAAATGTTTTAATCCTAGTTTAAGTAAGATATTTTCATTTTAACATAGATTTCAAGAAATTATTCATAAATGCACACTCTTGAGTTTATGTAATAATTATTTGGCATTTTACATCTGCTATAATATGCAAAACAATATTGGTAATATTTCTAGCTTACATGCTGTTCTTAGCACAGAGAGCTTTTTGTCATTGGGGCTGTAATAATTCACATACTAACTGGAAGAACAAGTCAATCTGACAAGTTTTGTATCTGTAAAGAACAAAATCACAGGAATATTTGGATTGGAAGGCACCTCTAAATGGGTCATCCTAGATCATCTTTAATAGACACTTATCTCGTCTAGCCGTAACTGACACCACACCCTCCCATGGCAGTTTGCTCTACTGACCTAAATGTTGCATAGTAGTAACTCCTTCCCAATATTGAACGGTATAGCAAAGTATTCCCTGCTGCAGCTTAACCACAGTATTTTTGCCCCTTTGCTCTTTAATAAGATGTGAAAATACCTTTCCCTGTTCTTTCAAGCCCTTTTGCATGTATGTGAAGCTAAAGCTCTCACTTTCTCCAGACTCAGTGTACCTAGATTTCTTGTCTCAAATCTCATTTATCTTGCCTTTGGGCTTTTCTATCTTCCTAAAGAGTCCTGTGAATTGAGGTTACCTTTTGGCTCTTTGATTCTGTGGGCTGAAGAGGATTTGACATATTTGCAGCAAGGCTAGTTAGGAATTTATTTTATGAGGCTCGAAGTTATAAATAGTCATCGTGCATCTCTCTTCCTTATAGTGGCATTTGTTCTTTCAATTTAACATTGGTATCCCAAGAAACACCTTGAGAAATCACACATACAAGATCAATATGCCCATTAATGAGATAACTGTAATTTAATACTGCTGTTCTTCAGGATATGCTCTGTAATTCCAGGGAGCTTCTACCTGAACTTGAACAAGGAGTGTTACCTCCTCATATAAATGTATGTCACCTCCATTAGGCATTGCTAGGAGCAAAGCCACACATCAGCTCCAAGATTACCTGAGCAATTACACAGAGCACCTGAAGGCTGCCGAGGCTACGCTAAGTTCTAGTAGTAGGAACTTAAAAGCTGCTTCTGATAGGCTGGTTGGGATGCAGTCATGGCAAGGGCACCATATATTCTGATTACCCTTCACCTGATACATATCAATGACTGTGACGCCTCTGTGCTCCCAACACAGAGGAGGTCCAGGAGCACAGGAGAAGCTGGTGGCCTGTTCATGCTTATAAAGTCTTCGGCTGAGCTGCCTGGAGTCACACACTAAGCGTGCAGGGCATGTTCTACCAAACAGCCACCCATGCAAACTCTACCAACGCCTAACGCAGGCCCCTCTGAGTGATTTCTGAGCAACCCAGAAGGACAGACTTGGGTGGTGAAGTTCCCCATCCATGACAGAACACCCGCACCAGTTTCAATACCTGAGCACTCACAAATATTTACGCAGTTGTGGATTTAAAGTACAATATTCACCTAGTGTATCATTGTACCATAATGCACATGCACTGACGTAGAATCTGAGACTTGAAATCAATTATTTGCCTGAAGTAGAATCTAGGACTTTAAATCAATTATTTGCCTGTAATATAAAACAAGTCAATTTCCCAATGAAAATACATGCCTAAAAAAAGCGGTAAATAAAGGGGTCTCACACATGAAGAGGAGATTTTTTGACAAAAAAATTAGCAGTGAGTATCCAAACAGCTTGCTCCACAGTTGCTTCAAACAGCTGCAATATAGTACTCATCCAACTTGTTTTCAGAATCAACACAAGGAAGGTTAGGGTTTTCTAGTTTTTCACTGTTTGAACAAAGAGAGGACACTGCTGCTGGGGCTGCCCCTGCCTATGGCCAGTTTGAGAAGCTGAAAACATGGCCAACAATAGCATGGCACAAGCAATTTTTACATTAAAGAGATAGCAGTAAAGTCCAATACAAACAGACAAGCATTACATTCTGCAATATGCAGCCCAGAAGACGGGCTTACTGACCATAAAATGATTGTATAACCCAACCAGTATTATGTCATCTGAGACCTCGGTGAGGCCACCACCTTTTTTATATATGCATATATCATGTTATTTTTTCCCCCAGACAAATGTCAAGTTACATTCCTTATATAA